AAAATCTACAGGAAAATCCAACACCTCTACAACAAAATGACCAATAATTTAATTAAAAAATGGGTAAAAGAAATAAACAGACACTTCACAAAGGAAGACATTCAAGTGGCTAACAGACACATGAGATCACTAGCCATTAAGGAAATGCAAATCAAAACCACCATGAGATATCATCTCACCCTCCCCCACACACACTACTGGCAAGAATCAAAGAAACAGAAAATAACAAATGTTGGAGAGGCTGTGATGAGATTAGAACTCTTATGCACTGCTGGTGGGAATGCAAAATGGTACGACCATTTTGGAAAACGATATGGTGCTTCCTTAGAAAGTTAGAAATAGAAATACCATATGATCCAGCAATCCCACTCCTAGGAATATATCCTAGAGAAATACGAGCCATCACATAAATAGACATATGCACACCCATGCTCACTGCAGCACTGTTCACAATAGCAAAAAGATGGAAACAACCTAGCTGTCCATCAACAGATGAATGGATACACAAACTATGGTACATAACCACAATGGAGTACTACGCAATGATAAAAAACAATGATGAATCTGTGAAGCATATCACAACATGAATGAATCTGGAGTGGATTACGCTGAGTGAAATAAGTGAATCACAAAAGGGCAAATATTGCATGAGACCACTACTATAGAAACTCATGAGAAAGTTTACGTACAAAAAGAAACAATCTTTGATGGTTACGAGGGAGGGGAGGGGTGGCGACGGAAAAACACTAAATAGAAATAGATAGGTGGTAACTTGGTGAAGGGTAAGACAGTACACAATATTGGGGAAGCCAGCACAACTTGTACAAGACAACGTCATGGAAGCTCCATAGACACATCCAAATTCCCCAAAGGACCGAATTACTGGGCCGAGGGCTGTTGGGACCACGGTCTTGGGGAACAACTAGCTCCATTGGCATAACATAGTTTATAAAGAAAACGTTCTACATTCTACTTTGGTGAGTAGCATCTGGAGTCTTAAAAGCTTGTGAGCGGCCATCTAAGATACTCTACTGGTCTCACCCCATCTGGAGCAAGGGAGAATGAGGAAAAACAAAGACACAAGGGAAAGATTAGTCCAAAGGACTAATGGACCACAACTACCACGGCCTCCACCAAACTGAGTTTAGAATAACTAGATGGTACCCGGGTACCACCACTGACTGCTCTGACAGGATCACAATAGAAGGTCCCAGACAGAACTGGAGAAAAATGTAGAACAAAATTCTAACTCACAAAAAAAGACCAGACTTATTGGCCTGACAGAGACTGAAGAAACCCCGAGTATGGCCCCCAGACACCCTTTTAGCTCAGTAATGAAGTCACTCCTGAGGTGTACCCTTCAGCCAAAGATTAGACAGTTTCATAAAACAAAATGAGACTAAAGGGACACACCAGCCCAGGGGCAAGGATTAGAAGGCAGGAGGGGACAGGAAAGCTGGTAATAGGGAACCCAACGTCGAGAAGGGAGAGTGTTGACATGCCATGGGGTTGGTAACCAATGTCACAAAACAATATATGTACTAATTATTTAATGAGAAGCTAGTTTGTTCTGTAAACCTTCATCGAAAGTACAATAACAAAAATAAAATAAAAAGGTATATTAAATTAAATACATAAAAATAAAAAACATAATTATCTAATTGTCACACCTAACAAAGTTAACAATAATTCCTGAATGTCATGAAATATTCCATTAGTGTTTGACTCTCTCTGATTTCCCCATAGCTTCTAGTTTTGTTCTGCTTTGTTGTTTTTACAGTTTGATTTAAGATCCAAATAAGTTCCATACATTGCAGTTGGTTGCTATGTTCTTTAAGTCTCTCTTAATCTATACGGCCCCCTCCATCTCTCTCTTTGCTTTTGCTTATCATTTATTTGTTGAAGAAACAATTTATCTATGTGGTTAAAAAAAAAATCTAGTCTGTATTTTGATGAATGTACTCCCATTATGTTCTTCAACATATTTTATTGCTCCCGTATTTCTTGTAAATTGATCAGATTCAGGTTCAATTTTTGTAGCAAGACTGCTTCATAGTGGTATTGTACACGTGCATCAGGAGGCCAATAATGTCTGGTTATCCTTTTGTGATGATAACAACCACTTATGAACACTGACTAGATAAATTAAATTATGAGAATTTTGAAAAATGATGATTCTATTCTATTTCTATTCTGATTCTCTAATTCTTTTTTCATTTTTACCTGGAAAATTTCTATAAAGAGAAGCTTCCCCTCATCCACTATTTTGTTATACTAAAGATCAGTTCTTTTTTAAAAAGTAGGAAAAACATTTGATTCTTTCCCTTTATTTAGCAGCTTTCTGGCCATGATAGAGTTACAGTAAATTCAATCACTATGATCTAATAAGATGGATTAGCGGCAGTTATAGTGATGAGGTATACAAGATTGGATAGTGTCTTAAGCCAATCTCTTCTGAGATATAAAAGAGAGAAGCAAGCAGAGACACACGGGAACCTCATACCACTAAGACAGCAGTGCCGGGAGGAGAGCGCATCCTTTGGACCTGAGGTTCCTGCGCTGAGATGCTCCCAGACCAAGGGAAGACTGATGCATCACAAGGACCTTTCTCCAGAGCCGACAGAGACAGAAAGCGTTCCCCTGGAGCTGATGCCTTGAATTTGGACTTGTAGCCTACTGGACTGTGAGAGAATAAACTTCTCCTTGTTAAAGCCATCCACTTGTGGTATTTCTGTTAGAGCAGTATTAGATGACCAAGACAGGGCTCAAGTAAAATCGACAAGGAGGTAATCTGGACTTTCATATTCAGGAACCAATTCCAGATGTTTGAGCAGAGGGTAAAAAAGAGAAAGCAAAACAATAGAGGCTACGAATCAAGCACACACTTTAATAGGACATTGTATAGCATAGTACATTAAGTCTGTTACAGGAGGGAAATTAGATTAATATGCTTTCTTGTAAGGGTAAGATAAAAAGAAACCTAGTCAAACTGAAAATATTAACATCACCTCAGGTTTTTTTTTTTAACTCTGTCATGAAAAAAGTTCTACACAAGTGGTCACGTAAAATAATATAATGTACATCCCTAGCACGCCATCTTGGTATCTACTATTATTCTTCTACCTCTGAGGTGATTTTAACTGTAATTCTCCTCAGGAATACATATCTGTCTTATCCTCTGAGTAGGTGTGCCCTCAGAATCTCTATTCTTGGTTATCACACTACAGTCAAGCTGATCGATGTTAAATTCATGAACAAACTTTGAGGATTATATGAATTTATCTCTTTAGGAAAACTGTTCCAGAGTTTCATGGTATACTTTGTAGATTCTAGTTTCCTGGACTCTGGAACATTGTTTGATTCTGTTTTCCCCCAGTACATGCTTTTAGTACAAAACAGAATTTCAGTGTGTTAGAATTACATTCCTTTTATCAGGAAGAGGAAGGGGCAAGACAGGGAGTGGGTCAGAGAGAGAAATGACCATCCTCCAAGCAAAGGCAGCTTTTCTACCTCCTGTAAATGCCACTGAGACTTCTCAAATTATGAAACTAATTTCATGATTTACACTCAGACTTCCATTTTTCTATTAATAAATTTCTTATCAGGAAAATGTTTTAATTCTCCCACATAAGGATATATTTTGTGGGAAAACTGAGGATATGAAGGATTAGCCCCTTTGTAAAAGAACAGAGAGAAATGATAATAAATTAATTTATAAATACTACACATCTGGAAGGTTAAGAAATAACAAAGAATCAGGAAAATGTTGCAAATATCAGAAAAATAAACAAACCAGAAAATACAAACATAAAAGAGACTAAAAAAAAAAGTACATGTTAAAGCAGAAAAAAAGTGCTATAAGAATTTTTTTTTTAATTATAAAGTACTTTAAAGACGAAGTACTTAAAGGCAGATGAAGAACCTCCTATAATAATCATCAGAATCTGAATAATAAACTGCAGTAGTCCCCTTGGTATACTGTAATGTATGCAATTTTAATTATGTGATTTTTCTAGCTAATTTCTGCTTCAAAAACAGTAAAGTACTTCTGCTTACAAGGTGGCAGAGACAAGAACTTTTCTGAACCTCTCATATGTACATTGTCATCAAAATTTAAATTACCAGAAACATGCCTTTCAGTTCAATCACAATTAGCCCATAGGCAGACTTATTCCATGAGCACCCACTATGTGCCAAACACTGCCGGCATATTCTAAAGAACGCATTTGTAAGACATTCTTTCGTTTTCTGAGCCCTGGTGGTTAAGAGCTCAGCCGCTAATCAAAAGGTCAGTGGTTCCAGTCTACCAGTCGCTCCTTGGAAACCCTATGGGGCAGTTCTACTCTGTCCTGTAGGGTCAGTATGAGTTGGAATCCACTCGACAGCAATGTTTTTTTTTTTTTTTCCCTTTTCAGGTTCGCACAAGTGACCTTTTAAAACCAGCTATATTTTTCTTACAGCATTAACTACATGTGCCAAATACATTTATTATTACAAATTGCTCCTGACCAGGAAGGGCTTAGCCTTTAAAGACAAAACATATCCTGTTATATTTGTATATATATTTTACAGCAGTTACGTATGGGACTCAATCAACAATGGCAAATACAAATAGATCGTCTGACAAAACAAAGTAATTTTTAGAGAACAGACATGGCATGCTTGTCAGATGCTGTCCACAAATAACTAATTAGCACAGAAAAAACGATATTCTTTTAATACTAGAGTCTCTTATAAGAGGATACTCATTACTTCCTAACCATCTGTCATCACTCCTCCCCAAAAAACTAATTAGGGTTTCATCCAATCACACATCCAAGTGATACAAATGTGGATGGCAAAAAACACGGTTTAAAGAAGTTAACATTATAACATTGCACAGTTTAAAAATCACAGGTACTAGCCTTTCATGTTCTAAAATTACCTTGTTTATTTTTCTCATCTGTTCTTCATTAATTAGGTAGTAAACTTAGAAAATTAAAATGTAAAAGAGAACTTACAGGTAATAGAGTTTTCCTGCAGCAGGAAGTGTCCTTTTCCGGTAATCTATCCCAGAATCTAGTTGAACTGTATTACAGTATTCCTACAATCCAAACACATAAAATGTCTTATTAAACAAGTGATGGCTCAGAGGTATAATCTGCTATCCTATTTTTTTAATTTTTGAAAATTTTCCTCAATATAATATGAGATTAGGACAAAACAATAGAACTCGTGTGAGATTTCATGGAAGTCAACTTACAACATTAAACATATAAACTAATAAAATATCAGTTTAAAATAATTAAGGTTTGTATCATGTCTTCCTGAAACTCTGCCATGCTGACAGCAAATTCCCCAAATAATTACCTGAGGTAGGGGTAAATCTTCACTTTACTCTGAAGTGAGAAACTGAAGGCTATCAGTTGAATAACTCATGGGTCTTAAGCCCCACAAATGGGAAAGAGGCAGTCTAAGAGAGCTGGGCCAGAACATTAGTGTCCATATGTTAAACCAAACGATCATACCAAAATGTTACTGATAAGCCAGGCCTTCACTTCTAAATGACTGTCACTGCCCCTGTCTCTTGGTTCCCTCTCCAGCCTCCAATGTCTTTCTGAGTCCTTTCCTGCTGCAGATGCCGCCCTTCAACCTGAGTTGCCTTGTGCCACTGATGTCTTTCTCTTTCTCAATTACTCTGTACTTTCCATCCCCCAGGGTACATATATGCACACAAATACACACACCTACACACACACACAACCTTACTATGGAAGCAAAAAAACTTTTGCCACACCTATCTTGGTCAGCTGGATGGGGGGCTGGGTATTAAATATGTGTGTGTGTGTATACGTATAGATAGATATTTATATACAGAGAGAGAGAATCCTGGTGGCACAATGGTTAAGTGCTTGGCTGCTAATCAAAAGGTCAGAGGTTTGAACACGTCAGTGGCTCCATGGGAGAAAAGACCTGGCGATCTGGTCCTGTAAAGATTTATAGTCTAGGAAACCTTATAGGACAGTTCTACTCTGTCCTATAGGGTCAGTACAAGTCAGAATTGACTCAAACCACAACAACATATATATTTATTCTAACAGAACAATGGTGAACAAGGGTTTTCAGGACAATTCAAGAAACATTTCCAGGCTAACCTTTTTGTTTGCATTCAAAATGAAAACTGCTTTACTAAAATTCATGAGGAAAAAAAAAAAAATACATATATATATATTTTGTAAGAACTTGGCTACTTTTTGTCAATGAAAAATTACATTTTTCAAACCTTTTGGGCCAAGTTAATTATGGCAGACATCTTGGTCATCCAGTGCTGTTATAACAGCAATACTACAAAGAAGAATTTATTCTCTCACAGTCTAGGAGGCTAGAAGTCCAAATTCAGTGTGCCAACTCCAGGAGAAGGCTTTCTCTCTCTGTTGGTTCTGGGGGAAGGTCTTCGTCATAAATCTTCCCCTGTCGAGGAACTTCTCAGTGCAGGGATCCCAGGTCCAAAGGATGTGCTATTCTCCTGGCTCTTGTTTCTTGGTGGTATGAAGTCCCCCATGTCTCTCTGCTCACTTCTTTCTTTTATATCTCCAAAGAGATTGACTTAAAACACAGCCGAATCTTGTAGATTGAGTCTGGCCTCATTAACATAATTGCTGCTAATCCCACCTCAGTAACACCATAGGTAGGATTTACAACACATAGGGAAATCACATCAGATCACAAAATGGTGGACAATCACACAATACTGGAAATCATGGCCTAACCAAGTTGACATACATTTTTGGGAGATACAATTCAATCCATAACATCAGATTATATTTTCCAAAGGTGGCTGCAATAATAGTTCCATCCCAACATGTTCTTCTTACAGTATGACTTTCCAACTGTCAAGAAGTGGGCTCCAAGTTCTCCCTCTTGAATCTCATGATTACAGTGAAACATCCTACGTGACATTCGAGGAAGCATCTTACTCGTTTTCTGGAATACTTGCTCTGGGACCCTGAACGTCTAGCTTAAGCATCCAACTGCCTGGAGGCCACCAGCTTGTGAGAAAGCTTAAACTAGCTCATGCAGAGAGACAATCTGCATGGGGCCCTCAGACCACATAAAGACAGAGGTGTCTGACCAGTCCCCAGCTGTGCCAGCTGTAGCCACTGTCTCACTGAGGGAGCCAGACCTCCCCAAATCTCTGACACACAGAAACTAGGAGACATCATAAAATGATGTTGTTTTAAGCCTCTAAATTTTGCAGTGATTTGTTACACAACAACAGATAATCAGAACAGTAATATCTGGGCACTGAGCAATAGCAATATTCTTTCTCCCTGAAATTACATCCTGGGTTGTATTGCTATACATGGGGTAAGAGCTCTTTATCATCTGCACTAAAGGGGATAGGCTGTATACAGGGAGAAGAGATAGATGGTACATAGGGAGAAGAGACACATCGATAGTGAGAATAAGTTTCCCCTCCTCACATTCTATAGCTGCTAAAGGGCCCAAGGGAGTGAAATGGGGTGACCAACCATCCCAGTTTCCCCAAGACTGAGGGTTTCTCCAGATGCAGGACTTTTAGTGCTAACATCAAGACAGTTCTGGGCAAAATGAGACAGTTGGTCACCCTAGGAGTGAAGACCCGGAAAACCAGGCTGAAAGGTTGGTGTGGGTATAGCATTTGATTTACATATTAGCAATTTTTGATTTTGATTGTCATTATTAGGTGCCGTCAAGTCAATTCCAACTCATAGCAACCCCATGTAACCGAGTAAAACTGCTCCATAGGGTTTTCTAGGCTGTAATCTTTACAGGAGCAGATCACCAGGTCTTAGTTCCGCAGATCCACTGCGTGCGTTTGAACCGCCAACACTTCAGTTAGCAGCTGAGTGCTTAACCATTGCACCACCAGAGCTCCTTGTGAATTTGATTAGTATAAATTAATCCCCAAGAAGCTAGTCCTCTGGGGAGGGTTACAAAGTTTTTGAATTACACATTAAAGGAACAATCCCTAACAAAAGTCATGCCATTCTGCAACGTGTGGTCTGAGCAGCCAGTTGTCCTCCCTATACAGACCTGCCTACCTCATCATTCCCAATTGCTCAAACCCGCTCCCCAGCCCTCAGTCTCAGGACCTAGGCTCTGTAACCATCCCACTAGAAGGGATGCAGCATTGCCCATATATCAGCATTCTACTCTCCCTGGCCCCAGAATACCTCTGTCAAAAAGGTATAACCACCTCTCTCTCTCTTCTTCTTCTCTTAACTTTGAACAATATGGTAAACCTGGGAAAAGAGATACATCCTTTCTTTGCCTGTGCTATAACTGTGGGGGTTCAGTCACCCAGTGTAAAGAAAAGAGACATGCTTCTTTAAGGAGCACTTCTTACTCTATGAGGGAAAATCTGCCCTGGTATGGTATATAAAGGCCAAATATTCATAAGTTAGAGGTCACCTATACTAGAGAAAATATACTTCATAGTGTGGCAAAATACACTTCATATAAATGTATTTCCCCAGGTTTTCAGTTTCTTTTAAACTATAACTTATCTTATATGACTTAGTATTCCTAATTTAGTCCAAGTTTTTTCTTTCTTACTTTTATTTTTTTGCTGTTAAAAAAATAAGGCTAATGGAAGTTATACAAGCTTCAATTTCTCTTCCTGGGTAACTAACTTCTCATATGAGTGATTAAACCCTAAAAATGATTGCATTTGTACATTCACTAATCACCACCAAGGAATACCTAATCAGCAGCAAAGGAACTATAACCGGGGCCCTTAGATGTTAGTTCTTAATTGTCTGAAAAATACTAACACCCAGTTTATATTTTTAAAGAAAAATAAACCTCAAATTTTCAGATTTGACTCACTTATGCTAGATTCTTCAAAACATTTTGCGGTGGGGTAGAGGAGGGTGAAAGGTAAGTTATTTCCAACTGAGACTCAATCTAGTCAAAAGGGCATGATCTCTTAGTAATTTTCTAATTTCCAGGGATATCTACAAGACCTGTGACCTTTTATCATCAACCAATTCAAATGCATAAAATTTATCAGCCATTAAACTAAATTTATTTTGAAATGGTTTATATATTTATGTATATAAAGGAAAAATACAATTATACAATTTAAAAATGCAATTAGGAAATCTGGGGAGGAAAAACAGGGAGGTTAGCATGCTCTTATGAGCATACTCATGAGTCAAAGGCCTTTGACTTTGGAAAGAAAAATGTACTACTAAAAGAACTGCATTACAGCAATTTACATTTTCCTCAGATCTACTGTGTGCATTTTTAGCAATTTTGAATAATACCGTAGAAAAACATCTCCCAAAACAACTTTATACAGCTTCTACTCTGGCTTTTCCATTCCCAGTTGGAACAAAAGAAGAATAACAATAATAAATATTGTTGGAAAATCCTTAAAAACCACAACATAGAAAACTCGGGAAAAGTGGAGGAAAAAAACCACATCTCACTTTTAAAACCAAAATTTTATGTCTTATCTAACTAATTATATTAAATAGGAATTTAAAGGATCAAAACTATTGTTTTTCTTGACAATATTCAACTAACAATTTTTATACATTTTAATAAGTAAGCAATAAAAGGAAATGATTGAAGCTTTTTCTAACTCCAGAAAATAAAATATTTAAATAACTAAGATCTTTTTCTTTAAACCTTTAAAAATAACTAAAAAAGCAATCTATGCTGATTACAAAAAATGCAAACAATGTTAAAAGTAGAAAGTCTCTATTCTCTTCCCAAAAAAGTTTGGTACATAGCTTAGATCCTTCAACTTTTTCCTATACATACAGAGATGATAGAAAGATACACAGGTAAGTAGGTAAGTAGGCAGGTAGGTAGGTAGTTAGATATAGATAGGTAGGTAGGTAGATAGGTAGATTATACACAGTATTCTAGGCTTAATTCTTCTTCCTATTTTAAAAGTTCTGTGAGAGAAAACAAAATCCTTGGTGGCATAGTGGGTAAGTGCTATGGCTGCTAACCAAAAGGTTGGCAGTTCAAATCCACCAGGCACTCCTTGGAAATGTTATGGGGTAGTTCTACTCTGTTCTACAGGGTTGTGATGAGTCGGAATTGACT